GGCCTTAATCACTCTTTGGGTAGTAATCACTGGACTTGGTCCCAGACATTGGCCCTGCCCCCATCGGGCTCAGTCCCACTGGACAGACAACAAACAAAGACACAAATAAACTGACACCTGTGAAGGAGAGATACCAAGTGCCTGGAGGACACACAAAAGGGGCTTTGACCCATCCAAGAGCAGTCGAGGAAGGCTTCAAAGCAGCCCTGCAGGAGCTGAAACTAGAAGAAAGGGAGTCAGCATAGTAAAAGCAAGTGCAAAGGCCCTGGGGCAGCCAGCTTTCCAGGAGTCTCTATAGGTTGGGTTGGTTTGTTTGTAGCAGAAACTACAGTTTGCTGGGGGCAAACTTAGTGGTCCTTGGATCCAGACAGCAGTCTGGTGGAGAGAGTCTGATGAAGGCATTTTAGAAAAGCATTCCCTAGACTGGTCCTGGTTTAGGGGAAAGCTATGTAGCTGAAAATGTGTATTTGGCCTAGAGATGATACATTTTATGTACATCTGGTGATCTATGTTGAAGATCCAATTTCGTCTGAAGTTTCTCCACTTAGCCCAAAAGAGATCACATAAAATCAGTCTAGGATTTATAAGCACTCATGGCACTGGCAACCTTGGAGAGGATTCCCAAATAATTCCACAGAGAGACAGAGAAGAAATGTCCCAGAGGAGGAATGTTCCAATCACTTGGTCAGTTACCATTTTATCCTACTGAAGCGCCAGGCGCAGATTTTGCACAGGTGCTGGAATCATACAAATACTTCTATTTTCTACACCCAGGAACCCTGACCTGTAAATTTTTGCCTTTATTAAAGAAAGAAAATAGTTCATTATGATAATGAGAATGAATACAGATGACAACCCTTCCAATTCCTTGGTTTTTTTTTTTTTTTTTAGTATTGACTTAGAGCACCTGGAAGAAGGTAAGCCCAACCCCCAGCCACCCCTGCTCTGCTTTTTTAAAAGAGTTCACTGGGGAGTATTTGCCACATTGCAAAACTTGTGCAATGCTTGCCTGCCAATTAGAATAAAGTTTCTATAATCTGAAGTGATGTGCGTGTAAACACAAAATAAAACACCAAAAAACTTAGAGCAAATAAAGGTGCTTAAATACATAATATTTTGAAATGAAAATCATTTCTCTTAATTCAACGATAACTTGGATCTAACTTAAAAGAGATTTTAAAAAACACGGGCAGAGTCAGGGCACAAAAATTAAGATTTTTTTTTTCTGCTTTCCCTAAAAACATTTATGCCAGAGAAGAATGGGAGGGAGCAGTGCATTCATGCTCAAGTTTCAGAAGAGTGGAAGTATTCATGCATAAAGATATCCCGCTGCCCTTCAACCCTGGAATTCCGTTCCTGGGAATTTATCCTAAGGAAATAATGGAATGAAACAAAAAACACCAAGTTTTATGTGCACTGATGCTATTGCATAATCATTTGCAATATTTTAAAGAAATGAGACTTTATTCTACAGGGCATGGTGATGGAGTCAATTGGAGGTGCAGGTGTGGATGGGCTGGGGTGGGAGGACGGCAGGTGGGTGGGGAATGCTCGAGGAAGGCAGTGGGCTGGAGGTCAGAGAGGAAAGCTTAAAATGACATTCAAAGCATCATTGCAACATGCATAGGGAAAGGGAGAGAAGAATCTAGAATGACACTCAGTTTGGGAGGATAGTAGTGCAACCAAATAAGGTGGGGAATCCAGGTGAGTGAACCTAGGTCTGCCTGTCTGACTAGGGCCAGAGAGAAGGGAGGGCAGGGTAGGCAGCTCTGTGTGGGGCACGAACATCCAGGTGATGATAGCACCCAGGTGGAGGCCGAGGGAAACCTGGGCCCGGGCTGGGAAAGCAAGGTGGCTGGAGATAAACAACAATAAATAAACAGTTTCCAAAACGGAAGATTCAAGGTAGTCCATCATCAGTAGGCCTAACAATCCTTTGCTCACCTGGGTCCCATCCCAGCACATGGAAGTACCATTTCAAGGGACCGAATTAATCATAGCAGAACTCTCTGGAGAAAGAGATTTCCCATAGGACGAGACATTGAGCTCCACATTCTTCAACAAAAACATTTGCCTTACCTCTACCCGTGTCATTTCTTTTTTGCTTTAAAAATTATTTAAAAGTAAATATTTCTCCCCAAGTAATCCATTTTACCTTAGGGGGGAAAAAAACTAGAAAAAATACAATTAAAAAGAAAGGTTAAAGCCGCAAAGCATTTCAGTGTATATCCTTTCAACTCTTCTCGCCCCCTGCAAGTGCCAACTACTAACTAGCTCGGGTCTCCTCCCCCCATGACACATGCTCAGCGCAGCTTCTTCCAATCAATATTTATCAAAATCAAAATGCAATGGTTATTTGCGTTGTCACTTCTCTAAAAAGCTGAATGGTTTAATGAATGTATTCATGGAAATGCCTTTTTTTTTTTTACCAAAATGAGATCAATTGTGTGTGTGTGTGTGTGTGTGTGTGTATACAGAGAGTGAACAATCTTTATATCCCCATGACAATATATATGGCTCCTTTTTGGTGCTACCTGGTAATTGCATTCAACTGTATGGCTGAATACAGTAAGCCAAATTTTGTAAGCCAAAGTTTATTTCAATTCTTTATTATTGGAAATTGAAGGTATTTCCAAGTTTTCTTTAACCCACTGCTTTAGACATTTTATTTATGTTTATTTATATTTATTTATTTATTTATTTTTGAGGCAGAGTCTCACTCTGTTGCTGGGGCTAGAGTGCCGTGGCGTCAGCCTAGCTCACAGCAACCTCAAACTACTGGGCTCCGGTGATCCTTCTGCCTCAGCCTCCCGAGTAGCTGGGACTATAGGCATGTGCCACCATGCCCAGCTAATTTTTTCTATATGTTTTTAGTTGGCCAATTAATTTCTTTCTGTTTTTTTTTAGTAGAGACGGGGTCTTGCTCTTGCTCAGGCTGGTCTCGAACTCCTGACCTCAAGTGATCCTCTCGCCTCGGCCTCCCAGAGTGTTAGGATTACAGGCATGAGCCACCACGCCTGGCCTAGACATTTTAATATTTAAATCTTGGCCGGGTATGGTGGCTCACACCTATAATCCTAGCACTCTTGGAGGCCAAGGCAGGAGGATAGAGTGAGGTTAGCAGTTCGAGACTAGCCTGAGCAAGAGCAAGACCCCGTCTCTACTAAAAATAGATAAAATTAGCCAGGTGTGGTGGTGTGCAGGTCTGTGCATGTCTATAGTCCCAGCTACTCAGGGGCTGAGGCAGGAAAGATCACTTGAGTCCGGGAGTTTGAGATTGCTGTGAGCTAGGCTGATGCTACAGCACTCTAGCCTGGGCAACAGACACTCGCACGCTCGCTCACAAACCAACACACACATCTTTACTTACTCCTATAGCTAACGTACCCCTACTAGATATAGTACTCCCTAACCTCACACTCCATAGGCCTCACCCATAACCCTCACGCTCACATACACCACCACCTCATACCCTACCCTACACACACACTATATACTATACAATTATGTGTGTCGTGTGCTGTAAATCTCTAACTATTTGATTGTCTTCTAACATTGGAATTACTGGATTGAAGAATATGCCCAATTTTCAACTTTTGATAGAGGTTGGCAAAATGTCTTCCAAAATGTAAACCACTTTATACTCCCACCTTTTTGCTTTATTCAAACTTTTTTTCCCTATTACCAAAATACTGCGTACTATCAACTGTCAGGGAACAGAGATAAACAAGCAAAGGACATGTGAGCCACCTGTGGTTCCAGCAAATAGCTCTGTAACCCCCGCTGGGTGAATTCTTCCCATATTTTGTCTGCGCAGATGCCCTTGGGAGTTGGCACTTGACTGGAGCGCGACGTTTACTTTACTGGCTCTGTGCTTGGGCACGGTTACTCAAATGTCTGCTCACTCGCAAGACTCGCCCGTAGCTGCCATCGGCACGGGTTGTTCCCACACAGGATGATGCACTGGCAATGCATCTTAGCTCAGTGCGCTCTCTCGCTACATGACTAAATTCTCTCAGCGCGCTCCTTATCCCTCGCGCTCTCGCTCTTGCTTTTTTCTCTCAGCTTTCTGTCGCTCAAACTTCTCCTTCGTTATCCAAGTTTCTGTACTTCTCGCTCGCACGTCTTTTACTATCGTAATCCTCTGGCCACGTGCTCTAGTCTAATGACTGTCAATTCTTTGCCTCTGTGTTGGTTTGCTGTGCATATTTTCATTCTGGCTCCTTACCTGCTAGTATTTATGTTTCTCTCCTTTCTTCTCGCTCATCTTAGTCACATGCAGTTGCCTCCCTTCCCTGGGCCTCAGTCTCTTCATCCGTAAGACGGCGTGCTAGCAGACCTGCCGCCTGGGGCCGTGGCTCTGATGGTGAAATGACATCACTTGCGTAGGCGCGGGGCACGGGGTCAGCTCTCCACAAAGCCTGCTGCGATTAGTGCCATTGCCCTTGTCACTGCCGACCCGCAGCACTGGCATGGCCTCCAAACCGGTCCCCACCCCCAACCTGTTCCAAATTTCAGCGTGCCGCCAGGTGACATTTCCATGCCACGTCTGGAGCATATCGCTCTCTGCTCAAGACTCTGGACGTCTACTAAAGCCTGACGCTACCCCAGCACGGTGTCCGAGGGCTCTGTGGGTCCGGCTCCAGGGTCTGTTTCCAGCCTGGTCGCTCCCCTGCCTGCACCCACCCCACCCTCCCGTCCGGCTCTGCCCGGCTCCGCTCCAACCTCAGGGCTCCCCGTTCTTCTCTGTGCTTTCCCACCCCGCCTGGATGGAGACTGTTCCTCAGTTTCCCGGCAGCCCCCACCTGCTCAGACATCCCTCCGGGAGCTGGCCTTCCTGGGCCCTCCAGGTGGCACTCAGCTCCCCTCCTCTGAGCACCCCCTGCCCACGGCCCTGCTCCAGGGCTCAGTCACCCGCACGACACCGCGCCCTCTTGAGAGCAGATGCCTTTTCTGTCCACCTTTGCATCCTCTGCACCCCCAAACCCCCCCACCCCACCCGCCGCAAGCTCTCGACGTTTGTCCGTTCACTGTCCTGTTAGTAGGTAACATTTTTCTGGGAGTCAGGTGTGCAGAAGTCTACCCGCAAGCCAAAGCTTTTACAGAGATCAGTTACCTTTCCCATGGCTTATTCAGAGATGACAGGGACAACGAATCTCAAGAGCCGCAATGCCCATCACTAGAACCCACAGATGCTCCACACGCGTGCGTCATGTAACCAGTGTGCCGTGAGCGTCACGTGACCACTTTCATCCTTATGAGACGGGTGTGGAGTGTGTACACATCTTTCTTCTCCACCGACAGGCAGGGGAACTGCAGCCGTGCTTGTCCCCTCTGCCCCCGGGCAGGACAACCGGGCTCCCCCGCCAGGCAGGGGCGGGGCTCAGACCAGCTCTCCCGCCTTCCTCGCCCGCAGGCATGCAGATTTCAAGTGAATTTGTTTAGTCCTGTTCTGGAAGATGATGCAACATGACTAGAAAGGAAGTGGGCAGCTGACTTGCTGCCACGAGGTAAGGAATGTCACGTCGCTCAAATGTGCTTCACATTCCCAGAAATATGTCGCGGTTGAAAAGGAGGCGGATGACTCAGTGTTCCCCTGGCTTTCCGCAGATCAGCGGCTCAGCCCGGGCCGAGCTAACGAGGACAGGCCAAGGGAAAGTCCAGTGGGCACAGAGCGCCGGGACGGCGCCCCCCGCCCAGGGCTGCTGTTTGGGGTGCGCAGCCAAACCGAGTCAGCACAGCGTGGTTTTCTCCGAGCTGGAATAAGGGGGGCCGTGGGGGCCACGTTGCGTTCATGTAGATGCTTGGCTATCTAGACGCCTGTAGAGGGGATGTTTAGGGGAGGAAATGAGGGGGTGTTGGCTGCCCCAACGCTGTGAATTTTCTAGCCCGGTTTCAGATTATTTGCTTTGCACAAGTGAGAACCTCTGTCCTTGGAACAGGCTCTTGTAATATCCCTTCTCGCTTCTTTTCAGAGACCTTGGAGCTTTAATGTCACCTGGCTATTCCTGCCAGGTCTCCACGTTGCCTCCCTCATTCTCCAAATTAAACCCTTTCCTAGCAGAGAGGCCTGGAAAATTCTTTCCAGGGCAAGAATTTGGCAACTGTCCTTGAAAATGAAGCTTCAGCTTTGCAGGGGTTTTATGACGTTCCAGAGAGCGGCCACCTGTTCCTTCCCACCCACCGCCGGGCGCTGGGCCCGCAGGGCCCCTCTCGGCCACAGGGCTGCGCACCCCCGCCTGCCCTGGGCCGGGGATGGGGGGGTTAGGGGGGTGGGGGGATGCTGTTTGGGCTGCAGCCGTGGAGCTGTGCGCGCCCTCGGGCTTTGTTTCCAAACACGTGTTGACTCACCTGGAAGAAACAAAACCCCTGTTTCCCAAGGCTGCTCATAAGAACCTCACACCTTCCAAGGAAAGGGAGTGGATCCCTGAGATTCTCACCAAAGGAAAAAGGGTTTGCGTGGGGGACCCCGCAGGAGCGCTGTAGCTCCGAGTCCCGCTGAGAGTCCGTCTCGGCAGCCCCCAAACTCGCCTTCACTGGAACTGCCTCTGCCCCACGGCTCAGTGCCCTTTGTCCGTGTGCTGGGAGCGAAGCCCCCGGGTGTGCCTAGAGGCCGGGCGTGGAGGGCCCGAGGCTCAGTGCCCCGGCTGGCTCCAGCGCCCCGCTTCCTGGAGTGAGAGTCGGGGCGTGTCGTGTCGTGCAGTCTCCCCGGGCTTCACTCCCTGCCTCTGAAGGCCAGGAATGATAACAGCACCTGTCTCGTAGGGCTGCGATCGGGACAAAACAACTGCATATTTTCATTTCGTGCCTAGAATGGGGCCTTGTGCATCATGACTCTTGACAAGTGACAAGGCGCCAAGGCTCCCTCCCTGGGGGCAAGGTCACCACCAGGCGGTGCTTTCAGAGGTGGGGTTCACCGTCTTGTGGCTTCCTGGCCGTAGTGAGTTTTGCCCCACGGTGCTCTAAGGGTTAAATCTATCGGCTCCACCGAAACTGAGCGTTCAACACCCAAGGAGTCCAGTCTCCAGGAAAGGCCGTCTAACGTAGCAAAACTTGGCATTTGCCAAACGAAAGATTGAGAGGGCAAGGGGAGGGGCCCTTCTCCACGTCCCTCGGCAGCGCGCCCATTCTTAGGGTGAAATCAGCTTTAAGAAATTTGTGTTATGCACCATCTAACCTGAGAGTTCTTCCCGACACGGGCCGAGGCAGAGTCTGCCTCCAGATTCCTCTGCCACCCGGGGCTTGCGTGGTTGGGCCCGCAGAGGCCCTTCCCAGCAGAAGTCGTAGCCAAAGGCTGCAGGTAAGTGAGGCCGACCATCGAGCTGCGACCTCCCCTGTCGTTGAGGCTCTGTCACCTCTGGGGCCATCGCAGACCTTCGAGCGGCTGGTCACCTCTGGCCTGGGCGGATGGCTGGTGCAGGCACACAGACCCCCGCCCTTTAATGCTCTACGATCACCCTCTCGGACGTCTGAACACCCGTCTCTCTGACTCTGTGGTTTGTAGGTGAAGTCCCGGGGACAACGGAGCTTGTGCCGACAGGACGGGGTCGGGGTCGAGGCGGAACTCAGGAGAGTCAGGGGCTCAGAGTTGGGCACGAGCGCCCCACACCAGGCACGTGGGGTGGTCTGCAAGAGCCCTGTGTCCCGGGAGCACGCCACTAAACAGCACGTAGAAACACCGTGACAGGTCGGGAGAGAGACAGTGGAGGGAAGGAGCAAGGAGCCGCACTGGGGCTTTACACCGGGGCCTGCCAGGGCTGGCGCTGCCTCTGGCCCTGCTTTCTCCAGCGCGTGGCATCCCACTCCGCCAGACACGCTGGCCGGGCCGAATCACCTGGACCCTGGACTTGAGAGTCGTGTGTGTTACTGAGCCCGGGACGAGCTCCCGCCACCCAGAGGCCATGTGGCGAGGTGGAGTGAGCCACAGGACTCGCTAGGGTCTTTGTGGCCCTGTGGTGTGGCCACCGCGGCCCAAGGCCACCTGTCACCTGCTCCAAGTCTTGACTTGCTCACCTGCAGAAAGACAGCAGGCGACGTGATTGTCAAGATGTTTTCTAGCTCTAAAAATATCTTATGCTTCCAAGTACACGATGAGGCCTGTTTTTTGCTCCCCACGTTATCTTCCTTATTTTCTTTCCCACAGCTGCCTGGCCGTCTTCCCGAGCGCCCGGAGTGGGGTGGAAAGGAACAGGCCAGCCCGACAACCTGAAATAACAGAATTCCAGGATTACTGTAGTTGGGATTTCAGAAGTTCAGTGCTGTAGAAAACACGGGGTCCTCTGGTTTCCTAAGGCGGGCTCAGGCAAAGCGTGTTCATTTGACAACAGACGTGTTTAGTATGAACAGCGGCGGGAGTCGCTGGAACCGGATCTGTGTTTGCAAGGGCCGCTCTAGGATCCAGAGTTATCGTAGGAGAAATTTCACAGCAGCTCAGATCCTGGGCTTGGCGGACAATGAGAGAAGAGGTTACTAGCTATTCCTTCTGCCGTTGGGCGGGTGGAATGAGAAAGACCATGTATGAATCATATGCATATCCATGAATATATAAAACCACTAAATCCTACTAAAATCCTCTCTGCGACAATGGGCCATAAGTTTTGCTCTCTTTTAAAATTGTTATCATGGGGGAATGAATTGAAAACATAACCATTAATTTAGCATCCTGTGGTACATTATTAACTAACATCACATTGATCCGGGGCCCACCATGGGCTACTGACGGAGTGTCACCGGGTTCACGCACCCTGGACCTCATATTGCCATTGCTCTCCAAGAGACCAAGGAAAATTACAGTTCGGCAGCAAACGTCTCTCCTTCCAGATCATTGCAGAAAAGAAACCCTCCTCTGTGTCCTGGTCGTTGTTAAAATCTCTAGCAAGGAGTTCTCCAGATGCCACTGCAACCAAAGGCATCCAAGCAAATCCTTTTCTGAGCTGAAAATGAGCTCCGCGGCCCTTCCCAAGCCAACCCACGGCATCCGGGGCATTCGACCCGTGTATGATGTCCAAGACTTTTTCTCATCCCAAATCTATGACAGTTTTCCATCCCCATCTCAGGAAATAGTTTGGCCAGAGCAGGGACTCGTGGCGTGTGCCTTCAGCCACAGGCAGCACTGCTGCGTGATGACCCTTCAAGCGGTTTTGATTCCCGTCACCGCTCTATCCTTCCTGTATTTTCTTTCCCACGCCGCCCTGGCCCCTTCCCGGCCAGCCCGCAGGCACAATACAAGCAATTCTGAAATCAGCCCAAGACAGATTTTGCTCCCTGGGACCCCAGTGAAGCAGTTGAACCATCTGGCGTCTGGTGTGGAAACAAGACGTAAGTGTCTCTGTGACACTCGTCATAAGGAGGCTCATACTTCACAACGTCGGAAGGACACCGGTGGAATGCGATCGATCCAATTCATCACAGACCTTTTCCAAAGAGCAAATCAAACTCCTCAGTGAGGGAATATTTGGCTCTGTACTGAAACTCCACAAGTAAAGCATCGCAGGTCCTGTGTGGTTCACTAACCTCATGTCCCCAAACTTAAACTATTGGCATATTTACTGAGGTAATAATACTTGTTTCGCTAGAATGCATGTTAAAGTTTTAGGGCAAATAAGCTCAAGTTTAGGAAATTCCAATACGTTCTCCTCTTGCTTATGGA